CTTTTTTGAAGTGTGAAAATAAAGCAAGGAGACTGATTTTATGAGTCATATCCGATCTCTAAAAACAGTTCCTAAAATGGAGTTGTCAAAATATTCCACAGCATGGCAGTGTGGTTGGTGTAGGCTTCTTGAGGTGAATATTGCGAATGGTAACTCAGCACTCATTTTATAGTTTCGTATCTCTGTAATCACATACTGAATACTAAACTTTAGTAACTTCAATAGAAAAAAGAGATACATGGAAACACATTGTGTCTGTTGTTTGCATAGAACAATAGCATAATTTCTTTATTAGTAGATCTCATTTTTGTGAAAGCAGAGTCTAACAAAATTTCATCTTGCTCTCAGTCAATTATCTATACACAAGGAATGATCCTGATCTGAATTAAAACTCTAATTTAGTGTCAAAATGAACAGATGCAAACTCACTTATTGAGGGCCTTCCCTTGGAAATAAACTCTTTAATTCAATAACTATCTAATCCCAGAATATTCCACAGAATACGAATACCTAGTTAAATTCATTTCAAGTACCAAAGAATATTCCAGAAATAACATTTGCATGTTAATTTACATTTAATTGCACAGCATAAAACATTTAGAACCATTAAATACACAAAGGTTATTTTGAATTGTTAAGTGCTTCTAACATCATTAACGTATTAATACATCTAAAATAATTAAATATTTAAGGAAGCCCTTACCATTTTATTTTGATTAAAGGTTGTTTGGAACTTGCAGTACATTCAGCATTTACAGAGAACTAGCTGGACACCTAAATCACAGAACTCAATTAATAAGAAAGACCTTTTATGACATTGAAACAGGGAGTTTAAAGAAAGTAGATGTGTTGTCATTTTGTTTTATTTTGCTTTGCTTTGGCGAAAGTGCTATAAAAGGCCACAAACTTAGGGGTGTGAGTACACATTACAATATATTTTATATCTAATGATCATTAAACTTGAAATTCACTAGTAATCCCATGGAATTTTATCATGGAGGTACAGGAATGGGGGGGTGTATGGTTTTCTCTCTCGTTTTATAATTTACCTACTACGGTACATGAATGTCAATCTACTTTCTTTATTTATTTTTTTAACATTTTTTGTTGATTTATAATCATTTTACAATCTAATTTATAATGGTGACATTGAAGCAGATTCTACAACAGATTTTAGGACAAGCATACCTCATTTTATTCTGCTTTGCTTTTTTGTGCTTCACAGATAATGACTTTTAGCACACTGAAGGTTTGTGGCAATACTTAGTCCAGCAAGTTTATTGGGACCATTTTTCCAACAGCATTTGCTCACTTTGTGTCTGCCACATTTTGGTAATTCTCACAATATTTCAAACTATTTCATTCTTATTATATTATGGTGCTCTGTGATCAGTGATCTTTGATGTTACTATTGCACAAAGATTACAACTTGCTGAAGGCTCAGATAATGATTAGCATTTTTTAGTAATAAAGTATTTTTTAACTAATGTATGTACATTTTTTTTAGATATAATACTGTTGCTCACTTAATAGACTACAGTGTAGTATAAACATAACTTTTATATGCACTGGGAAACCAGAAATTTTGCATGCCCTGCTTCATTGTGACATTGGCTTTATTACAGTAGTCTTGAACCAAACACACAGTATCTCTGAGGTCTTCCTGTGGATCATTCTAGTATATAACCACATTTCCTGTTAAGAATGAATTCATCACCGGTTGTTCTTTAAATGCCTCCTGACCCTTTGTAAGCTCCATTCTCTCTGGAGATGGGTAAATTCTAATAATCATGCCATATATTATTATCTTGGAAATCATTAAACCTTTCTTTAGATATTTTTAGCACTCCTAGTTTCTCATGGATCTAATTTTACCACCTTGTCAATGTTGATATTGCTCCTCATTTTATACCGGTCTTCACCAGAGAAGAATCTGCTGCTTATCTGCTTAGAATCACCACTTCTAATCATCTTAGAATTAGGCAAACTCTCATGGAATTTTTGGATGCTTTTTTCATATTCTCTTTTTTTTTCTCATTTTACTTTGTGAAACTGACTTGCACTATGATTCTGAGATCTTTTACGCTCATGCCATGTGGCTGCCTACCTACGCCTTGTGTTCCTGTTTCTCATTGTAACAGTGTCTAACTACTCTGACATGGTTACTATTATTTATCTGTAATCCTCTCCTCTCAGAAGCTGATGATCTAATTACATTTAATCATCAGCAAACTTAGAAAGCACTTAGCCTCCTCTATTTTTTAAGAAGCACTCTCTCAGAATATTTCTTTCCAGGAAACTAAAAAGAAAAAGTGAATCAATGTAACTATGGAGTTACAGAAACCAGAAGCACAGTGGATTATCTAGTAGGCAGAGAGGTGGTTGTCTTACTTGGTCTATACTCTGGATGTCAAGTTGATTTTAATCATTCCCATGGAATAGCTGAATTAATTTAATAATTTAATTTGTAACTGGGTCACAGTTCTAATAGTGTTATGATGGTGTTCAAAGTGCTTTCAGTTAAATTATTTCTTAGCACTAGAAAGGAAGGAGTTAAAGCAGCTGACCTATGATCCATTCATGCCCATGTTGTAGGGAGGGGCCAGAAGCAGGTGATTCAGTATAATATCCTTGGAAAACTGCTGAAAGCCAGACCTCCTGTTTAACAAACTAGTGCTATTTGCAGGGAAGGGAGACCTTATCTATGGAATGCTATTAGCAAGATATTCCTGATTTAGGATTGCTTATTGTAAATAAACTCAGAATCGGTGGATTTATGGAGCATGAGAAAGTCTGGAAGTTTGCTGACTATCTGGAGTGTCAAATTTAGATATTTCATATCCCGAATGCCCTACTGCTGTGTGAGACAAGTAAAAGCAAAGAAGCATTCCAGGGTTGCAGATGGACAATGTTATGGCTGCAGTGGGTATCCAAAGTCAGGAGCCATCTGTTTCACCTTTGTAGAGAGAATTTAGGCAAGGATCCTGCAGATGCCATCAATACTCTGTGCAAAAGGCAGATGCATCAAAGTACCTCAGCCAGTTTCATCAAGAGTAGGATCTAAAGGAGTGGTAGAGTGTGTGCTTAGCACGCACGGGGTCCTGGGTTCAACCATCAGTACCTCCGTTAAAAAAAATCAAATAGCTCCCCCTACCAAAAAAAAGTTTTTTAAATTTTTTAAAAAAGAATAGTATATTAAAAAGGTGAATGTGCATTCAGGCTGATAAGTAACTCATGGGGAAAATGTATATAATTAAAGCAAAAAATTAAGTGATTCTATTATTTAAATTCACGGGAAAAGACTCACAATGAGACGTTGGGATGACTTGAATTTCTGAACCAACAAACTCTTGGTTACAGTTTCAGGGTTGCTACATATTTGGATCCACTTACAACTTATAATGGCACAACTGCTGCCAAAGTGCATAGGACAGTTGGGGTTTGAGATCCAGAAATACCAGCATTGAAGAGGAACGGTTGTCTCATATTTTTGTTAGCTCAAGCCAACCCCTGGTGGAGAAGTTGCTTGTCCATACCAGCTGTCTATGATAGGAAACTCATTCTGCACCTCACTGTTAATGTGATTATCATGGCATTTGACCTAAAGTCTCATGACTCTCTGGGAAACAAGTTATCTATGAGCTGACTCTTTCATGTCTGATGAGGATGAGTGCTGAGTGGAGGTCACAGGGAGCATAGGACAGGATCAGGTCGAAAGTGATACTGAGGGTTGATCATACCACATAGGTACTGTACAAATAGGATGTGACTGATGTACCAGTAAGGGTGGCAATGAAAAAGTGAGGGCAGATGGCATCATTAGAATAAGGGGATCTTAGCAGTCATCTTGTTCTCTATGGTAGAAGTTGGCAGTGGCCTCAACTTTTACGTAATCTTTCTTTGGCTCCCAACGTACCCACTCACCTACATTCCAAAAAAATACATATGTAAAAGTAGTTCTAACATACAGTTGTTCCTCCTTATCTGCAGGGAATTGGGGCCAGAACCCTTGGCAGATACAAAAATTCATGAATGCTCACCATATCCCCGGGTTCTGCATCTGTGGAGTTTGGTTGATGGTTGGTTGAATCCAAGGATGCAGAATCTGTGGATGTAGAGGGTGGATTGTATAAAAATGTCTGGGTCTTAGACCAATTTGATTTATTTTCTGTGATGCTCTTGGCTTATTTGTTCTACCAAAGGTTCTACCAAAACCATTCTTCATCTTTAGCTTTCACCTCCGCTTATGTATGCACACAGGCGCACACACACACACACCCCCTCTCCACTCACTCCAACTTCAGTCTCCATTAGATATTTTTAAAGCTGAACGGTTAGGAAATCCCACTAATGAGAAATCTACTGTACCAGCCAAAGCAATGAGGAAGATGACCATATATTTATGATGAGAGTTGGTATAGAACAGTACTTCTCAAAATATGTTCTTAGAACAGCTACATCACAACCTTCTAGACATCAGAATCTTCTAGACTGTAAAAATGTAGATTCTTTGGCCCTCACCCCAAGTTTGCAGTAGGGATCAAGAAATCTATATTTTTAGCGAGTGTTCGTGTGCCTTCTAAAAGTACTGGTTAGTAGAAAGAACACTGAATTGGATGTTTCTGGAATCGTTGTAAGTTTCACATGAAGGCTCTTCTTCTCTATCTGAGTAGCCTTGGGCACGTTGTAAAAAATTTCTGGAGTTTAGTTTCCTCATCTATAAAATAGAACAATTAAACTGGATGGTCATGGAGGCTAGTGCAGGCCTTTGTAGTACAATTCACTGTCAGGTTGTTGAGTTTAAAAAAGTTTTAAAAAGAACTGTCTAAACTATCTAAATCTCTTAGAAGATTTGCCCTGCAATTTCGCTGTTTTCTAGTGTGCTCTGGGAAGCCTCTGTAGACACAAGAGCAGTAGCACGTAGGGAAGAAAAAAAATATGCTTAGTAAGGGGAATACCAGTGGTTACAAATTCCTGGCAACCTGCTCAGTTTTCTAAGGAATTGGCAATGCGGCTACTCCATCTAATACAATGGGTGTGATCAATATGGTAATGTGCCAAATATTGTTGTGTTCCTTTGAGCTGCAAGTCCATGAACTTTCTGAGGAATTTATATGCAGTTTAATAAAATTTGAGTTTTTAAAAAACATTAGCATTTGCTTTGCTTTCTGTAACATTTCTCCTAGAGAGGTTACGTACATAAAAAGCCACAAAACTGCTATAGGTCTATTATTTTGTTTAAATTTTAGTTGTAAACCATATGCATAAAATACTTTTTGGGGAGTTTGGGCCTATGTGTCATAAATTACAAAATTGATAGGAAATCTTCACTAAGAAGACTTAACAATTATGAGCTGCAAGATAACAGAAAGAAATAGATTATTGTCACAAGATAATGGTCACTGTGAGATAAATGTCAAAGCAAATTCATGGCAAAGCCTGGCCATTTATCAAAAGTTAACATTGAAGACAAGTAGGATACATTTATCAAGCAACTGATCTAGCCCAAAAGTTTTATTTCTCTCGTCCTAGCTGATCTATGATTTAGGTGCTGTCATTTTACCCAACAGATGTTTGTACAGCTCAATGGCTTGAGTCACTGCTGCATTGTTTAGTTATATATAGAAAACCTTGTTTTTTTTGAGTGATGATTTTGTTCAGTCTAAAAAATATCTTGTAGTAAGAAAATAATTAAGAAAGTTAATTGATTTGGCTTACTTTTAGTTTCTTTTTTCTTTGTACTTAGAATTTTTATATGCCTTCATTTCCTAAGTGTGATTTAGTAAGGTTCACATTAAAATGCATATACAATAGATCAGTAGGCTAGAAATTCAAATAAAAAACTAGAACTAAGGTGAATTATACTCAAAATTATTTTAGTATTGGTGAAGTGATTCTAACAAGCGTACTGATTGCTTCTTCGCCTTTTACTCCCTGACACGTGTGGCCCATTGAACCACAGGTCTAATATTGTCATTTGATACTGACAGCTCTCTTGTCAAACATGGTGATTTGTACCCCATGACCACTCTCAAATTACTGTTAAAAGGGGCCACCATTCTGCAAATGTAACATATTCTTCTCTGTTCCAACCCTGATGATGAATTTGGAATCCATTTAACTTGTTAAAACAATGGGACCACCATATGCAAACTTCCTTAAGTGGAGAGCAAGCCCCTGGGATTCAGTAAGCTGAGAAAGTATGGGGAAATCACTGTATAACTTACAGACGTATAAATATGTATACTCCATTCCTAGAACCACTTGAAAATGGCATTACTTGGAGTATAGACTTGCTAAAGATTTTCCTCATTCTATTCCATGAATATTCAGGGAGCTGAGTATAATGTACCCTTTCCAGAATTTTGGCTGACGCCTGAGTCTTATATAGTCATGCTCTTTCAGTTGTGAGAGATGCTGCACCAAATTAATGAATATCTTGAATCATAAAATATGGTTACCTAAAAGCTTTTAATTCCTTTCTTCCTTCATTCATGTGTTCAGCCAAAACTTATTAAACAGCTGCCATGTGTGGGGTATTGTATTTTGTTAAGAGAAAAAAAATATAGATGAATAAGACACAATCTTAGCCCAATGGATATACATGTGTATATATGTATACATTCATTAGATCCATATACATGTGTATATGTATATATGTACATATGTATATACACCACACACAAATACACACACAAACAACACATACACACAGATGTGTTATATATATATATATTTTTTTTTTTAAGGTAAGGACAAGTAGTTTGGTCTGACTAGGAGCATATATTTGGGGTAAGGTTGAGGAGCAAGTGGGAAATGTCTGGAAACATAAGACAACTTTAGAAAAGAAAAGGATTTTGCTGAGGATTCTGAATTTTATCCTGTAGAGAACAAAAAGTCATGGAAAGATTTTAAACATAACAATGATGGAATCATGCCTGACTATATTAAAAGCATCATGGAGGCAATAAAACATTGGAGATGGTATGCTTTAAGAGTTAGTGGTTGCTTGAAAAAAAAAAAA